AGTGGACCCTTGTACATAGAGGCAGGTCGGTCTCATCAGGATGTGCTGTTTATGTGTTGTATGTTGTATGTCATTGTTGTGTGTTCACACTTTTCTCTCCTTATACTTACACACTGTAGCACATAAGTTGGTCCCATCAGGATGTGTTGTTTGTGTGTCTTTGTTGTATGTTCAGATCTTTTTTCTCCATATGCATACACAGTTTTGTACAACAAGGCAGGTTAATATGTCATTGTTGTATGTTCAGATCTTTTTTCTCCATATGCATACACATACATCGAGGCAAGTTTATCCCCTCAGCATGTGTTTATGTGTCATTGTTTGTGCGTTCAGATTTTTTCGCCCCATAGACATATACACCATTATACATCGAGGCAGGTTTATCCCATCCGGATGTGTTATTTGTATGTCATATGTTATATATCATTGTTGAATACCCAGAGCTTCCTTCTATATATTTATAAGTTCACAAAATTGTACACAGAGGCAGGTCAGTCCTATCAGGATGTGTTATGTGTATGTCATTGTTGTATGTTCAAATCTTTTGTCTCCATAGATGTATGCACTGTTTTATATATTGAGGCAGATTTATCACATCAGGATGTGTTGTTTGTTTGTCATTATTGTGTTAAGATTTTTTCTCTCCATTTACATACAAACTTTCATATATTGAGAAGCAGGTTTATCTCATCAGGATGTGTTGTTTGTATGTCATTGTTGTGTGACCAGACCTCTCTTTATGTGGGTGGTTGATGGGTGCTCTGGTGTGGTTTGCTCCTTCTTATCTATCATCTATCATCCCTATCTCTCCTCTTTCTTTTTTGTGTTTGCTACTCCCCTGTAACACCTCTGATCTTCTACACTTATATGAACCAAATTGTGTTGCAAGTGCTATAAAATGCTTACTAAAACAAAAATACGTCTTTTATGCGTACATGGAGGCAGGATGGTCAGATCAGGATGTGTTGTGTTAATGCAAGTTTTGTATTCAAAGACAATTCTCCAGACAGATATGTTTATATATATATATATATCATCGGCGTCATTCCTCATTGTCGTATGGCCGAATTCAAGGTTTTCAGGAAAAGCAAAAAACTGTTTTATTTCTAGCAGAACATTGTGTTAATACTAAATGTTTAATTTGTCTAGATCTTTTACATTATTCTTAGAAGAGGAATGAGACTAGGATCAATCATTTTTTTTGTGTGTAATTTCAGGGAGTTTTGAACAGTCTCCTATCCTGAGCGATGTCTATAGCGGCTGGGCGGAGTCGAGCATCTTGCGACAGCCACGGGGCAGCGAGGAAGAGGAAGACCAGCTGAGGAAGACGCTGGAGGATGCCATGTTGGAGACTCCACCCACCGACCGTGGGCCCAACAGCATGGGGCTGCGAGAGGGTGAGTCGAGATTGGGTTTTATGTATTCACGTTGTTTTGGGTGTCTTTCTGGTTTCTGGAAGAGCTGGATATTCAAAGACAGACAAATTTGCATCTTCTTTCATATCATTATTTAACCTCAGTATATCTCCTCCTTCTTTCCTTCAGTTGTTACTCTCTTGTAACATCTCTGTTTGGCACTAATATGGCCTATTAAAATTTGTGCTGCAATTCCAGTAAACTGTAACTAAAACTTAAAATAGACAGATAGATTAAAAAGATCGAAATGACAGTTGGCTGGAGCACTATGTAAAAGATAGACAGACAGACAGACAGACATTTCAGCGTGGAACTGATAGAAAAACAGACAGTTATTTGGCAGGAGCACAAAGCAAATAACAGACAAGCAGACAGAGAGATGGACACACACAGACAGCCAGACTTTTTTTGTTCCCTCTTTTGTTGCATTTGAGTCGTTGGTTTTGTTGGTTTTTTTGTTTTTGTTTTGTTTTTTATGTGGGGACCCCTTTCTGGTCTGAGAGGAGGAATGCAGTATCATTTTCAGATACAGTTTTTTAAAAATGGGATAAAGGGCAATAACTGTGTAAACTGGTGTGATTTGAAGAAAATAATGAGTTCCTTCCCTTTGGTCACATTTTTATATATTTTTCTCTCCTCTTTTCACTCTCAGTGTGTCTATGACTGAATGCTTCAAAATAAAGGGGGGGGGGGATGTAACACAGTAAGGGGTTGCATGTTGACTGTGCTCTTAAAATGTCTACCCCGTCTCCCTCTTTCTTTCCCTCCTTCTCTCCCTCTCTCTCTATCTATCTCTATCTCCCCTGTCTGTGGTGTATTCTACTCATGGCAAACAGTGGCTGGTCTTGTCTATCAGTCTTTAATTTGCCTGTCTGTTTGCCTGTCTATCTATCTATCTATCTATCTATCTATCTAGCGCAGGCACACACACATGCACGTACACACAAATACACACTCACATATACA